CTTTAAGTTGGAAAACTTGGGGAAGGACTCGAAAAGGACCCAAGGAAGGACTCAAAGAGATCCCCTAGAAATGACTCAAGTAGGACCCGAGAAATGACTCAAAAGACGATTCGAGGAAGAACTCAAGGAGGACCCAAGGAAAGACTCAAGGAGGACACGGGCGATGCGCTGACACGGAAATAACCACATAAGTAAATGTTACCTGAGAGGCATAACCTCGACCCCCATCAACTAAGATCACCTTAAGATATCAACTAAGATCACCTTAAGATATCAACTAAGATCACCTTAAGATATCAACTAAGATCACCTTAAGATACCAACTGGAGAAGAGTGGATGAGGTCGATCACATCTGAATGAACAATAGACCAATCACGTTGACGATCAATTCCGATGAGAATGATTCATTTGGTCGATCTATGAAGATCAGCCATGTTGGAACAACCAATTATCCTTGTATAATGAAGTTGACCAGACCACACACTAGAAGGTGAAGGGACGACGACGTTTCGGTCCGTCTTGGACCATTCTCAAGTCGATTCCACGAATGGTCCAGGAAGGACCGAAACGTCGTCGTCCCTTCACCTTCTAGTGTGTAGTCTGGTCAACATACTTTAGCCACGTTATTGTGACTCCTCGCCTGCATAATGGAGAAGTGTTTAACAAAGTCTGAATATCCTTTCCAGCGAAGACCTAAGTACAGAAGCCTTGTGTCAGACTTGAGTCTGATTACCGTAGACATGACTCCTCAAATTTAACTCTTAGTCTGACTGCATAAAAAAGCCTTAATTGTATAAAACTACATTATATTTTGGGGTTGTGACTTGAGAGTGATTCACGAGTGTATTAATAACGACTTCTCAGGACGATACAAAATGTATTTTGCTGAGGTTGTGGAAAGTCTAAAAGTCTTGCTTCATGGGCAAGAGCTGTGAAAAAGAGGATTGACTTTACGACTTGCTTATTTTTATTTTTATGTATTTGTTAAAAGTCTGAAGATTTAAACCACTTATTTACTAGTTTAGTGAGACTTGCTTATTTTTATTTTTATGTATTTGTTAAAAGTCTGAAGATTTAAACCACTTATTTACTAGTTTAGTGAGATTATCAGAGAAAAAAAAAGCTTTATCGGAATTTATAAATATAAAAATCGAAAGATTGTTTAGGTTAGGTGTTTGGGCTTAAGACCTATCAACCTCTGGAGGGTTATTAAGGCCACCACATATATCTTACTGAACTGCCAGTAAGTCTATTTCAGTCCTGAACGTAAAGGTGTATACATACACCTAGAAGTGGGTCGCACTTCTCAAGTGTATATACACCCTCAGAACGGAGATCAAAACATGCAAAAGTCAGACACACTCAAATCTCCAGAACATCAAAAACAAAACACTGTTATCATTTTGATAATTATCAGCATATACCTGAAACTTTGATTTAGATCTCTATAAAATCTCATTTAGATGGAAGCCTTTATTTGATCATTAACAAGGCTGAATGCTTAAGACACTCTTCCCAAATGTAAATTCACCGTAATAAAAAGATATCCACTAGCATTGTACCCCCGGAAAGGGACTCCTTAACATCTAGCTTAGTTACCCTTGTAGCGCGCACTCACGTTCTCTATGAAAAGAAAACGGGTATTAGATACCACTAACTTTCTTAAATTCGTCTAATTTATTAGATCATTTATTCATTCCTATACCTTCCAAAGATACTTTTATGGGGTTGATGTGTTTAATGTATTGTGCACCCCATACTCATCCTGTGAGTGATGGTGTATTGTGCACCCCATACTCATCCTGTGAGTGATGGTGTATTGTGCACCCCATACTCACCCTGTGAGTGGTTTATTGTGCACCCCATACTCATCCTGTGAGTGGTGGTGTATTGTGCACCCCATACTCATCCTGTGAGTGGTGGTGTATTGTGCACCCCATACTCATCCTGTGAGCGGTAGTTTATTGTGCACCCCATACTCATCCTGTGAGTGGTAGTGTATTGTGCACCTCATACTCATCCTGTGAGTGGTAGTGTATTGTGCACTTCATACTCATCCTGTGAGTGGTGGTGTATTGTGCACCTCATACTCATCCTGTGAGTGGTAGTGTATTGTGCACCCCATACTCATCCTGTGAGTGGTGGTGTATTGTGCACCCCATACTCATCCTGTGAGTGGTGGTGTATTGTGCACCCCATACTCATCCTGTGAGCGGTAGTTTATTGTGCACCCCATACTCATCCTGTGAGTGGTAGTGTATTGTGCACCCATACTCATCCTGTGAGTGGTAGTTTATTGTGCACCCCATACTCATCCTGTGAGTGGTAGTTTATTGTGCACCCCATACTCATCCTGTGAGTGGTAGTTTATTGTGCACCCCATACTCATCCTGTGAACGGTAGTTTATTGTGCACCTCATACTCATCCTGTGAACGGTAGTTTATTGTGCACCCCATACTCATCTTGTGAGTGGTAGTGTATTGTGCACCCCATACTCATCCTGAGTGGTAGTGTATTGTGCACCCCATACTCATCCTGTGAGTGGTAGTGTATTGTGCACCCCATACTCATCCTGTGAGTGGTGGTTTATTGTGCACCCCATACTCATCCTGTGAGTGGTAGTGTACTGTGCACTCCGTACTCATCCTGTAAGTGGCGGTTTATTGTGCACCCCATACTCATCCTGTGAACGGTAGTTTATTGTGCACCTCATACTCATCCTGTGAACGGTAGTTTATTGTGCACCCCATACTCATCCTGTGAGTGGTAGTTTATTGTGCACCCCATACTCATCCTGTGAGTGGTAGTTTATTGTGCATCCCATACTCGTTCTGAGTGGTTGCACCCGATACTCATCCTTTGAGTAGTGAGTAGTACAGGTAGTTTATTGTTCACCCCATACTCATCCTGTGAGCGGTAGCGCAAAAAGGATTAAAGTGGGAACAATAGGTCTGTATCAGAGATATCAATGGATGTTATCTCCGTACCCAATAATTATAAGAACAGCGAATATAGGCTATTTCTTGTAATGAGTTTGTCTTGTTCTTCGCCTGTGCGTTTGCTCAGGCACGTGTGTGTGTGCGCGTGTGTAGTCACATGTGTTTGAGGAACGAGTCTTAGCTCCTGAACTTCGCTATTCTGCTTCCTGCTCCTTCAATTCTCCTTCGGTTTGTTAGTCAGACCATCTCGCGCTGCCTCTATGGTGAATGTTTCTGATCTGTCCACTTTGGTTATAGGCCTATGCATCAGAATCTGTTCGCTTTGATCATAGGCCTATCAGAATCTTGTAGGATGGGATAATGTCGCCTCTGCACAGTCCATTGTTTTTCCAGTTTAAGGAGGTCAAAGTCCACTTAGCCTAATGGGTCAGTCTTCCAAGACCAGTAATGGATCAGACCTCTGGACCAGCTTTGGTTCGATCCAAGCGTAAAGCTCTAATGTTCGAAATTGCGTTCGTCTGCTGGGCCTGGTGTTCGCTGAAGGTACGGCTTACGAAAGCCCTACGTGAGTGGCTGTTGTGACGAGTGGCAGCGTTGCATACGCTGCTGATAACATTGCGTTAATGTGTGCCTCAAGCTTGGTGTAATAATGTTCTTCCTCTGCCTATTCACACGCTCGAAAGCACATAAAAATAAGGTTTTTACATACTGAATATACCTTCCTTGCCGTCCAATAGGGAAAAATCAAAGAGGAACATAGCCCCCCTACCCCTTTCATTGTACCAAATAATGAAAGCACACGCATATATGTACCACCTCTCACAACCATCTCTAATCTATGGTTTTATCCAAACACTCCCTTATGGACCATAGGCAAAACAAAACACTAGATATGACAATAGCGCGCTCTCCCTGGGCTCATAAGAGACGTGGCAGCAGCGTGAAGAGGAGGAGGAGGGAGGAAGAGGCGGCGGCGGCGGCGGAGTCCGGACGGGGAGGCGGCCAGCAGTCGAGCCTCAGCAGGCAGAGGCGACGGGCACCCCGGTTATTGTGGTGGTACTCCGGGTGCAGGTCCTCCCCGGGGTCGTGCGGGTGCCACGCCCATAACACCCATGTTGGGAAGTCCTGTAGCCACGAGGGGGAAGTGGTCGTTAATGGCGGTTATTTTTGAATTTGAATTTACCGCTGTAAAGTCTTAAATTATCGGGAGGGGAGAAGGACTTAGTAGTAGACGTAGAATAGAGGCAGAAATAGGATATATAAGGGTGCAGTAGCAGTAATAACTATGTTAAACAACTACTAATAACTAAGGGGAATAGTAATAGTCAATATGAGAATGCAAATAGCGGCAGGAATAGTGGTGGTGGCAACAGCAGCCGTTAGGGCGATAATAGTCTAAAATAGAGGAAATAATGACACTAATAATTAAGGGTAATAGTAGTTAGGGGTTAATAGTCAAATAGGGGTAAAGGGGGAATAGACCGGGGGGGGGGGGGGAGGAGGGTATAGTGGTTAGTGATACAAAGGTCCGAGTAGTTAGTGGTTAATGTTTAGAATAACTGGTGGTTAGTGACTACCCCTTAATTACAAAATGGTTAGTCCTAAGGGGAACGGTGAGGTGTTGCCCTAAGGGGGGGAGGGGGTGTTAATGAGAGACGGTTGGTTGGTTTGTCCTTGAAAGGGGGGGGGAGGGGTTCGGAGGTAGATAAATTTAGCGATTGGGCTTCCTTAACGAAGGATGGTTAGGTTAGAAGGTTAGACCTGAATGGGTTAATGGGACAAGGATGACGAGATGTGATGTAATGGGTTTGTTGTTATTCTTAGCGAATGGGTAATGGGGATGGATGGAGAGGGGGGGTGGAGGGGGGATGGTCCAGATTAGTTTGCTGATTATTTTCGAGAACATTAACCTCAACTCGGGTCAGTGTTGCTAATGGTATACACTTAGAAGGAATATACTGGATAAAAGGAGACAAAGAGAGACACACAGCTAACACTGCCACAGTATAAGCACATATAAGCAACACATGATTCCTACCTACAAAATCCCATTAACAAGACCCCTAAAAATTACTGTACTGTAAATATCAACCCAAAACCCTTTTGTTTATGACACTATACAAAAGCATTAACAATATCAAGTCTATTTAATATTATAATATATTTTTTGTCATTAAATATCAACATAACCTTTAGAGTGTGATTAGTTATGGATTAATATACAAACTTGAACCAAATCTAACTTAAATTGAACCTAATAGAATCTTAACTTAATTTTGAAGCTAACCTAGCTTGAACCTTATCTAACCCTATGTTAATATAATTTTGTAAATATATATGGTACAAAAATGATGAAAATACATTTACGTTAGATTTGATAGAAATGGATATATATATATATATATATATATATATATATATATATATATATATATATATATTATATATATATATTAATATATATATATATATATATATATTATAGTCCCTGTTACCTGTTATGAGGAATGTGAGACTATGGGATGAGAAGATGAAGTAAAGAACATGGCAAACGAAGATAAGAGAACAAAGATATGGTGAACAAAGAAATACTAATTGAATATATATTTTAAACACACACACAAGGCATGCTTGGAGGAGTTACATCACTTAGTGAAATGATTAATGTGTTTAATGCTCGTATTGGAGAGGGGGAACGGAAGAGGTTGGTTTTTTGGGGGGAGGAAAATGATGTGTATATTAAAGCCGCCATTGTTGCACGTTGTGGTTCTTATCTACGAAAACAATTTTTTCATAGACAAGATTCTAATGCATTTGAGTCTTAATTACTCGTGTTAAAAGGCTTTTTTTTCGTGTCATTTTAAGACTGAATATATTCAGTCTTAAAATGAGTTCATTTTCAATGACCTCAATGTTCAATGAGTTTCAAACGTTTATTTTTAAAGTTTTTCGGATTTTTTTTTGTGGGAGAGGGAAGGGGGGGTTGTAAGCTGAATTTCTTCAAATTTGTGATTTTTCCAGAACAGACTGAACTACAGAACTGAACAAGGTGATGATTGCACTTTATCGGGATGAACTTCTAAAGTAACAATGCCAGGAAATACATATGGCATAACGAGCAGTAATGGTGATCTAAGGTGTTATAACATGTACTAATGGTTGGTGATCTAAGGTGTTATAACTACCATTTATGAACTGAACAAGAACAGCTCACAATTAACAGGTGACACTAAGTAGGAGTTACAAGGAGAAAATCAGAGAAAATTGTGGAAAATTAAGATAATTAGAGAAATCAGGATATAAAATTGAGAACAATTTAAAGATAAAATGGCAGGAAAAATTAAGAGAATCAGAGAAAAAACGGGGAAATTTAAGAACATCAGAGAAAACAGGAAAAAATTAAGAGAATCAAAGAAAACAGGAAACAATACAAGAATCAGAGAAAACGGAACAGGAGAGGGGTAACACAAACTGAGACGCCTCTACAGTCTTCAGACACAGGGTGAAATGAACCCATTGTGTGAACTAACACATCGCATTTTTAACGGAGAGTCAACTAAATTAAGACAAAATAAAGCATCGTAATATTGATTTTTTCTGTCTGCCTCGATAAGTTGGATTCGTACGTTTCCGATTTGGTAAAGAGATTCGGTAAAAAGAGATTCGTTAAAAAGAGATTTGGTAAAAAGAGATTTGATAAAAAGAGATTCGGTAAAAAGAGATTCGTTAAAAAGAGATTTGGTAAAAAGAGATTTGATAAAAAGAGATTCGGTAAAAAGAGATTCAGTAAAAAGAGATTCGATAAAAAGCGATTCGGTACAAAGAGATTCAGTAAAAAGAGATTCGATAAAAAGAGATTCGGTACAAAGAGATTCGGTAAAAAGAGTTGCATTCTTTACAGAGTGGCAAATCGAGAGTATGATATGGATTGTTTACGTTCGTCCTCTGGTGGCACAGTGGTAACACCCTCGCCCTCAGAACCGGTGCTAACTACCGCTGGTTCTTCAAGACTGCTCGCCACTTTCTTTTTGTAACTCCTTGACCCAGTGAGTTAGGTTCAATTAGCAGGGTAGTTGGCTCTCGGCACACACAGCTGTTTTTCCTTCATTGAAAACATGTGTTTTTCGTTACTTTTCCCTGTCTTTCTATTTTGATGATCGATAATTGGAGACTATTGTAAATATGTAATAAAAACACCTGTCAGATTTATTCACAGGTGTTGGAAGTATTTGAATTTGAATTTTGAATTTGAATTTTGACCAATCAGTGGATTACAAGAGACTCTGACTCTCTGCACCTATTTTCATTTTCAAATTACTACTTTTTATACCGAAAATATGCCATTTACTGAAAACGGCGATGGGTCATATTTTGCCCAAACCCCCCTGCAGTTTTCAAAATATCGTAAATGTCCGAAATTTGACTCCTGAGCGTGATTTATGAGCCGAATTCTAACTCTCTGCACCTATTTCCATTTTCAACTTACGACTTTTTATACCGAAAATATGTCAATTACTGAAAACGGTAATGGGTCATATTTTGCCCAAACCCCCCTGCAGTTTTCAAAATATCTGAAATGTCGGAAATTTGACTCCTGAGAGTGATTTTTGAGCCGAATTCTGACTCTCTGCACCTATTTTCATTATCAAATTACGACTTTTTATACCGAAAATATGCAAATTACTGAAAACGGCGATGGGGTCATATTTTGCCCAAACCCCCCTGCAGTTTTCAAAATATCTGAAATGTCCAAAATTTGACTCCTGAGAGTGATTTTTGAGCCGAATTCTGACTCTCTGCACCTATTTTCATTTTCAAATTACTACTTTTTACACCGAAAATATGCCAATTACTGAAAACGGCGATGGGTCATATTTTGCCCAAACCCCCCTGCAGTTTTCAAAATATCTGAAATGTCCGAAATTTGACTCCTGAGCGTGATTTTCGAGCCAAATTCTGACTCTCTGCACCTATTTTCATTTTCAAATTACGACTTTTTATACCGAAAATATGCCAATTACTGAAAACGGCGATGGGTCATATTTTGCCCAAACCCCCCTGCAGTTTTACGACTTTTTACACCGAAAATATGCCAATTACTGAAAACGGCGATGGGTCATATTTTGCCCAAACCCCCCTGCAGTTTTCAAAATATCTGAAATGTCGGAAATTTGACTCCTGAGTGTGATTTTTGAGTCGAATTCTGACTCTGCACCTATTTTCATTTTCATATTACGAATTTTTATACCGAAAATATGCCAATTACTGAAAACGGCGATGGGTCATATTTTGCCCAAACCCCCCTGCAGTTTTCAAAATATCTGAAATGTCGGAAATTTGACTCCTGCGTGTGGTTTTTGAGCCGAATCCTGACTCTCTGCACCTATTTTCATTTTCAAATTACGATTTTTTATACCGAAAATATGCCAATTACTGAAAACGGCGAGGGGTCATATTTTGCCCAAACCCCCCTGCAGTTTTCAAAATATCTGAAATGTCGGAAATTTGACTCCTGAGCGTGATTTTTGATCCGAATTCTGACTCTCTGCACCTATTTTCATTTTCAAATTACTACTTTTTATACCGAAAATATGCCAATTACTGAAAACGGCGAATGGGTCATATTTTGCCCAAACCCCCCTGCAGTTTTCAAAATATCTGAAATGTCCGAAATTTGACTCCTAAGTGTGATTTTTGAGGCGAATTCTGACTCTCTGCACCTATTTTCATTTTCAAATTACTACTTTTTACACCGAAAATATGCCAATTACTGAAAACGGCGATGGGTCTTATTTTGCCCAAACCCCCCTGCAGTTTTCAAAATATCTGAAATGTCCTAAATTTGACTCCTGAGCGTGATTTTTGAGCCGAATTCTGACTCTCTGCACCTATTTTCATTTTCAAATTACGACTTTTTATACCGAAAATATGCCAATTACTGAAAACGGCGATGGGTCATATTTTGCCCAAACCCCCCCTGCAGTTTTCAAAATATCTGAAATGTCGGAAATTTGACTCCTGGGCGTAATTTTTGAGCCGAATTCTGACTCTCTGCACCTATGTTCATTTTCAAATTACTACTTTTTACACCGAAAATATGCCAATTACTGAAAACGGCGATGGGTCATATTTTGCCCAAAATTCCCTGCGGTTTTCAAAATATCTAAAATGTCGGAAATTTGACTCCTGAGCGTGATATTTGAGCCGAATTCTGAGTAACTGTCATAGGTGAGTCGAGGTCGATCTCAAAATGTTGTGCTATTTAAGTGTTGGGAACTCGGGTCGAACCTTCTGGGTTCGAACCCCATCTAGTAAACACACACACACACACACACACACACACACACACACACACACACACACACACACACACACACACACACACACAAATGAGCCACAGAGATATTAGACAGAACTTTTTTAGTGTCAGAGTGGTTGACAAATGGAATGCATTAGGAAGTGATGTGGTGGAGGCTGACTCCATACACAGCATCAAGTGTAGTTATGATAGAGCCCGATAGGCTCAGGATTCTGTACACCTGTTGATTGACGGTTGAGAGGTGGGACCAAAGAGCCAGAGCTCAACCCCTGCAAACACAACTAGGTGAGTACAACTAAGTGAGTACACACACACACACACACACCTCGTAGGGGGCCTCGTAGCCTGGTGGATAGCGCGCGCAGGACTCGTAATTCAGTGGCGCGGGTTCGATTCCCGCACGAGGCAGAAACAAATGGGCAAAGTTTCTTTCACCCTAAGTGCCCCTGTTACCTAGCAGTAAATAGGTACCTGGGAGTTAGTCAGCTGTCACGGGCTGCTGCTTCCTGGGGTGTGTGTGTGTGTGGTGTGGGGGAAAAAAAAAAAGTAGTTAGTAAGTTAGTAGTTAGTTAGTAACAGTTGATTGACAGTTGAGAGGCGGGCCGAAAGAGCAAAGCTCAACCCCCGCAAAAACACAACTAGTAAACACACACACACACACACCACACACACACACACACACACACACACACACACACACACACACAGTAAGAACAACAGTGGGATTAAAGTGTTAACTAAGTATTTACCTAACACAAGGAAACCGAACAGCAAAACAAGAGGAAAGATTATGAAATATAAACTGAAATACAATATCTAAACCATATAAATAAATCACAGACGAAAAAACACAAATATACCAACACAGAAAACGGGGCGAGACGGCCGAGAGCACGGCGAGAGAGTGGAGGGGTTACTCACGAAAACATTGATGTCGTCCGGCGTGTTGGGTGTGATGGGCCGCCGGACCCGGATCATGGTGTGTGTGTCGTTCTGACGGCCGGCCAGCAGCTTCCAGTCCTGTGACTCGTCCAAGATGGGTGGCCCGTTCTTCGATGCCCAGTAGTCCTGTAGAGACACGAGAGAAGATGTCTTAGGTAATGACAGCAAAGTACAAGGGACAAGCTCAAGTATGTTTATTGAGACAAGAAAAATAACATCTTGAAGGGATTGAGTAACTTAGGCCATTTTTACTCATGTATGTCTCAAACAAACGATATTTTACTTTTTAAGGCAAACGTAAACACAAGAGGAAAATATATGAGGTTTAACGAGCGGTGGTTAATGGAGCAGGTTGTTAAACGAAAAGTGAACCCACTAACTACGTGGGACCAATCCACTGCATGATTATAACAGCATGGGAATGCCTGGTGTGTGGCAGTACTGGAGTATGCAGCACCAGCATGGAAGCCAAACACTGCAAAACACGAAAAGAAAACTAAGAAGGCACAAAGATATGTGATAACTTTGATATCGAGAATTATAAACTTAAGAAGACATGATTCAGATATATAAGATATCAATAAAAATAAACAAGGTGGAAAAGGACAAACCGTTCACAGAGAAACAGACAAGGTGGAAAAGATTAACTGTTCACAGAGAGAGCCATAGATTCGGTGTAAAAAGAAAAAAAGGCACTTTAGGCAACAGAGATGCTGGACACCAGACAACCTGATTGGTGTCCGTGCTGCAGACGGACAGAATGGACTCCTAAGAGCAGTTAGCTGACGTGAGAACAATTCACTTCTTCAATCAGATGATGAGAAGAGTGAGGCTTAGATATATATATATATATATATATATATATATATATATATATATATCTATCTATATATATATATATATATATATATATATATATATATATATATATATATATATATATCCCAGCAGCAATTAGGGAAATATGGTCACCCCCATTCCCCAGCAAACACAAAACGTTGTGGCAACCTCCACTATCGTTTCCAAAGGGTTGTGGGAAAGAAAAGTTGCACGTACAGGTCAACAAGCATATGAGCAACCTTATACCCCAAGATTGTTAAAAGTATTTCTTTATGTAATTTGGCAAATGCTGTCTTTTCTATCATTAGTTTCTCCGTAATATGTCACAAAAATAGTTTTTTCGTGTTTAAATATCAAATTCATGTACATAATATATATAAATTGTGAATGTTGCTTCATAGCGGTATGAAACATTCTTGAAACATTTAGTTACTGAAAGATATATTGGATTATAATTGGTTTTGATATAGCTAATATTGGATTATATAACACGATTTGTTCCCTTATATATTAAAAATATTTGTTCATGTTCATTTATTAATTTTTTGTAATTTTGTAACATACATTAATATTAATTTTTAATGTTGTGTCTGAGTTGATATGAGAGTGCAACATGCGAGAGTCGCTAGTCCCAAACCTGCACTCAGAAATAACATCACATGAGACCAGGAGGCATGGCAGGATGTGCAGAATACCCCCGTTGAAGAGCAGAGGTGCAACAGGTACTCTGAGAGAGAACTATCAACATCAGAGGCCCGAGACTGTTCAACACGCTTCCACTACACATAAGGAACATAACTGGTCGACCCCTCACAGTGTTCAAGAGAGAACTATCAACATCAGAGGCCCGAGACTGTTCAACACGCTTCCACTACACATAAGGGACATAACTGACCGACCCCTCACAGTGTTCAAGAGAGAACTATCAACATCAGAGGCCCGAGACTGTTCAACACGCTTCCACTACACATAAGGGACATAACTGGCCGACCCCTCACAGTGTTCAAGAGAGAACTATCAACATCAGAGGCCCGAGACTGTTCAACACGCTTCCACTACACATAAGGGACATAACTGGCCGAACCCCTCAAAGTGTTCAAGAGAGAACTATCAACATCAGAGGCCCGAGACTGTTCAACACGCTTCCACTACACATAAGGGACATAACTGGCCGACCCCTCACAGAGTTCAAGAGAAAACTCGATAAACACCTCCAAAGGATAACTGATCAACCAGGCTGTGATTCATACGTCAGGCTGCGACCTGCCGCGTCCAACAGCCTGGTTGACCAGTCCAGCAACCAGGAGGCCTGGTCGACGACTGGGCCGCGGGGTCGCTAAGCCCCGAAAACACCTCAAGGTAACCTTCAAGGTAAGGTAAGGGGGAGGAGGTCATCATGAGGGGACGGTGGTGTGTGTGTGTGTGTGTGTGTGTGTGTGTGTGTGTGTGTGTGTGTGTGTGTGTGTGTGTGTGTGTGTATAATCCCACATAGCATTGCGGGATTAGTCGGATTATAGCTGTACCATCTTTACCGTTCCATGGAGGTCTTCCTTGTGTTCTCTCGCTATGTTTGCACTCCAGTTGGTGCTCAAAACTGAGTGTGTAAATCATTACGGAGCCCAGAGGGGTGGCTCACTGGTGTCTCCCCTCACCCCAGATCCTATCCCCTCACCCCAGACCCTCTCCCCTCACCCCAGATCCTCTCCCCTCACCCCAGACCCTCTCCCCCTCACCCCAGACCCTCTCCCCTCACCCCAGACCCTCTCCCCTCACCCCAGACCCTCTCCCCTCACCCCAAACCCTCACTAGGCACCACAAAACCCTACCATGAATATTCACGGTATATTCATGAGTAGACGAGGATACAGGAAGCACAGTGAGGCATGCACAGTGCACAGTGCTCATGTGTCCCCCCCTGCCCCTCCTCATTCAAGGGGGGGGGGACGTATCCAATTTCTGGAGAATGTGTCCCCACTTTAATATGAAATGTGTCTATTCTTCTCTCATGCGCGCGCGCGTGTGTGTTTGTGTTAAGCTCTTGTGACATCATAGAGACCCGCGATGAGCGCGCTCAGTGCTCTACCAGGAGGCCGGATATATATATATATATATATATATAATATATATATATATATATATATATATATTATATATATATATATATATATATCAACTTATTCTAGCGAGAAACTTCTCTATTTTCCTTTCACTTTTCTTCACTTGAGGAAGTTGAAAAATGACTTCTCGAAAGAACATTTTTAGAATTATTTAAACCTGAGGCTAAGAGTTGCGTTTCGTTAACTTTTAACTAACGTTTAAAGCCAAGCTTGTGCACAGACGGATCATCACACCAACAACGAAAGTTTATAACAAAAGACAAACAAAGTAAGAATTAACGGTAAAATGTAGCAGGAACAGTGAATTAAATCAAGCGGGACGTTGAGAGGCCAATCACGGAGCTCCTCCACGGGTCACGTGACGCCGGCCTCGCCCACGCGCGCCCTGATTGGCTAGTGGCGGCGTTGCCTTCCCGCCCTTCAGTCAGCTGACGGCGCTAGTCCTCCCGGGCCGAGGTCGGCCATGCGTGATGCTGGCTCGCTCTTCCTGGTTCTTCCTGTCTCCCCGTCGCCTCCCGCATGATTTGACCATGAATTTCCCACAGGTTTTGACCTACTTGTGTCCATAAGATCAAGCTGTTAGCTCTTGGACCCCGCCTTTCTAACCCTCGACTATCTAATGCACTTTGATTGAATATGACTTTATATTCTGTGATTATTTTCTTGTTTAGGGCTTCTATCCCTCTGACTAGTGCTCTTGCATCTTGGTTTAATTGGAAGAGGATCTATCCAAATATCTTATTTGTTCAAGGTTGACTACAAGATTTTACCAAGATTTATAAACACACACCCCGAGAAGCAGTATACATCTTCCTAATGTATATACACCCCTCGAGAAGCAGTATACATCTTCCTAGTGTATATACACCCCCCGAGAAGCAGTATACATCTTCCTAGTGTATATACACACCCCGAGAAGCAGTATACATCTTCCTAGTGTATATAC